CAGCATCATAGGAGCAGGAAGGCTGACGTTTCGGGCCTAGACCCTTCCGAAACATCAGCCTTCCTGCTCCTATGATGCTGCTTGGCCTGCTGTGTTCATCCAGCTCTACACCTTGTTATCTCAGATTCTCCAGCATCTGCAGTTCCTACTATCTCTTATTATTATTATTATTAATATTGTTTTCAGTAGTTTCTAAACAATTATGATGTTGAGCAGGAATATAGGCTCACCAGTCAGCACAAGATCTGAGTTCTTATCATATAGGAGATGCAGGGAAGAGAGAAAGATACTGAGACACCAAGATTGACATCTACAGATATATTTGAACTTTCAAGCTCCATGACTAGATTTTTTTTTGAAAGGTAAGGGTTTCAAAGGATATAGTGTTTATCTGCGTAAATAGTATTGAAGTGCAGATCAACCACAATCTAGGCTGAAGGGGCGAAATGGTCTGCTCCTACGTTCTAGAGATATTAATGGTCAGACTAATGAAGAGCAACAGGACAGTCAGACATGAATGAAAGCAGGTTTTCCTGCAACATTTCCATGGGAAAATGCAAATAATGCCTTACCATCACAAGGATTCACTGCCACAGCAGCTGTGCTGCCAGCGATACAACCACTGATGAAGGATACATAAAACGGAGCTCTCTCATCTGGGCTCTTCTGTCCCAGTTTGTTAAGGTTAGCGAAGAGTGGGAAATAGACGATGGAGAAAGGAACATCCCTTTAAATAAAAGAACAGCATTAACCAGATACACTGCAGCACTTCCAACCTTTTATCTCAATGTATTCTTTTTTTTTAAAAAAAGAGCTTGTTTAAGTAACTTAGAAAGAAATCAGCATACGACTATGTGACCCATTTCAAACTGAATACAGAAGAGTTTCTGCAGGTATTTCATTCTCAATTTAAGATTTACTTGATAAAACAATTAAAATAATTGTAATGATAGAAGACATCTTATTACAGTTAGTATTTAAAAAGTCTGAAAAGATAGAGAACAGCTATTCAAGTGTGATGGACTTGAGCTGCACGTAACGTTCAACATCTACTGAAGTATGTTAAAATCAATACAAAAGACGACTGATCAGCAATAACGTATTTATATTGGTCTTCTCAAGTTTAAAAAACACAGAGGCCCAAGGCTCTTTACAGAAAGATGAAAAAGCAAAACTACAACACCAAACACATAAGGCAATACTTAGGGCAGCAACTTTTGAAGGAGGAAACAGAGTTAGAGCCAGAGGGACACAGGAAGGAATTGTGATGGAATCATCGACGTGAGGTAGCAAAGGCATGAACCAGGGTTTCAGCAGCTAATGAGTTGGGGCAAGAAGTCAGGTGATGATAAAGAGATGGAAATAGGTGATCTTCATGATTGGTGTAGATGCATGGTCAGAAACCCAACCGACAGTTTGGTCTTGATGTAACAACAAAGTTGCAAACAGGCTGGTTTGTCCTTAGATGTTGCCTGGGAATAAGATAGAATTGATTCAGGGATATTAAAGCAGGCACTAACATTATGTTTCATTCTTCCTCATATTTAAATGAAGGAAATTTCTGCTCATCCAAATCCTGGATTCTGGATAAACAGTCTCATGATTTAACAACCTTGGAGCGTGTTGAGAGAGGTGGTAGTGAGTTAGAGTTGGATGGCATCATAGAATCCCTATAGTGTGGAAACAGGCCCTTCGGCCCAACAAGTCCACACCAACCCTTGGAGCGTCCCAACTAGACCCATCCTCCTATAACCCACCTAATCTACACATCCCTGAACACTACGGGCAATTTAGCATGGCCAATCTACCTAACCTGCACATCTGTGGACTGTGGGAGGAAACCGGAGCACCTGGAGGAAACCCACGCAGACACGGGGAGAATGTGAAAACTCCACACAGACAGTCGCCAGAGGGTGGAATCGAACCCAGGTCCCTGGCGCTGTGAGGCAGCAGTGCTAACCGCTGAGCCACCGTGCCGCCCATCGGTACTCATCTGAAAACTAAGGCTGTGTCCTTGGATGATATCATCAATGGGCAGGAAAGAAATGATAAGGAGGAGAAGTACAAGGAAAGATCCTTGGGAGATACAAGCATTAAACAGATGGAGGTGAAGCCACTATAGCTAAGAATGCAGGTCAGTCGAGTACTCGGTGGCACTGTTTCAAAATTTACATCAGTCTTTCAGAAGAGGGATGAGGGGCATTTTTTTTTCCTCTCAGAGGGTTCTGCGACTTTGGAACTCTGCTTCAGAAGAGGCTGGAGGTGGGGGTCATTGAATACTTTAAGGACAGTGGTGAATAGATACTTGTTAGGCAGAGATTCAAGAATTCTTGATGGTTGAGGAGAGTGCGGAATTTGAAACACAAACAGGTCAGCATGACCTTATTGAATGGTGCAGCAGACATCCATAGATTCCACAGAATCCCTGCAGTGTGGAAACAGACCATTCGGCCCAAAGAGTCCACACCAACCCTCCGAACAGCATCCCACCCAGACCCATTCCCCTACCCAATTCCTGTAAGCCCTGCATTTCCCACAGCTAACACACCTATCCTACACATCCCTGGACACTAAGGGAAATTTATCATGGCCAATCCACCTAACCTGCACATCGTCGGACTATTGGAGGAAACTGGAGCACCTGGAGGAAAGCCATGCAGACACAGGGAGAACTCCACACAGACTGTTGTCTGAGCGTGGAACTGAATCAGAGTCCCTGGTGTTGTGAGGCAGCAGTGCTAACCATTGGGCCACCATGCTGACATGAGGGGTCGAATGGTCTGTTCTGCTCCTAATTTGTACATTTGTATATTCTTAATGAACCAGACAAGAGCAATACCACCCGCTTGAATGGCTGGATGTCGGGAGAAGTTGCCGAAGTTTGCAGGCAGGTCGAGGAGGATGAGGAAGGATCTTTAATCTTTGTCATAGCCATGCGGGATGTCATTTGTGACATTGGTAAGAACCATTGTGTTACAGTGGTAGGAACACAAAACTGGAATTCCAGGAAAAATAGATTTGGGAGGTGACAACAGGTTAAATGACTTTGAAGAGGAAAGGGAAGTTGGTGATAGGATGGTATTTACCCAGGCGAAAGGGGTTAAGGGGTGCCTTTTTGAGGAATCTGATGAAAACATCAGATTTAAAGGAGATAGCAACAGCACAAAAGAGAATCATTAATATCAGCTGTGGGGAGAGGAGGGGGAATTGGATAGTGAGCAGCTTCATGGGAGCAGTGTAATTGCATCAAGAAATGGAAAAGGTAACCTCTCAGAGGGGATGAGAAAACTAAAGGAAAATAGAAACTCAGGGCAACGGTAAAGGTGAAACTTCGGAGAAGCTTGGCTAGTGGAAGGAGGAAAGTGGCAGAAGCAACTTGGTAAGTGGTTTTAATCAGAGTGATAAAGCAGTCCGTGAGTTCCTTGAACCTGTTGTTGGAGGTAGGATAAAGTACACAGTGGGAAAGGGTTTAAAAAGATAGTTTGCTGTATATAAAAGAAGCCAGACAGTTTCTTTGTGTTCCAGGATGACCTTAGAATAGCAAACAGTGTGAAAAGATGAGAAAAGGACCTGACTGTACTTTGTGGTCCAATCAGTTATGGTGGTTTTGCATCATTTCCTTTTGAGCCCAGGTTCGTTAGAGTTAGGATAGGGGTTACAGCCATATGGGGGTAATTAAATTTGTAGGTGCCTAATTATCTCTCTATAACATGTCCGTTTTCCCATTTCCTATATTGAACAACTTAAACAAGGAAAGTTTTCATGTGAACCTTAAATATATAACTAATGGAATCTTCTACCACCAGTGAATTCATCCAATAGCCAAATAGCTGTTGAATCACCTAATGATAAGGAAAAGTCTTTCTTTGTCAACACAGTGCACTAATTGCATTTTACTTTACTACCCTCTAAACAAGGGATATCTACTAGACCTCATCCAACGTATTTCCATAACTAGGCAACAAAAGTACTTTGGTAGTATTTGCTCACTGATTTTAAGTATGCTGCGGGAGAATCAGAGATAACAAGGTGTAGAGTTGGATGAACACAGCAGGCCAAGCAGCATCAGAGGAGCAGGAAAGCTGACGTTTCGGGTCTAGACCCTTCTTCGGAAATTTCAGCAAATCTCAGATTCTCCAGCATTGGCAGTTCCTACTATCTCTGTGGGAGAGTCATCTTGTTTTCCATTCAGTTTTTGCCCTATGCACCAGATTGGGAGCTGGGAGTATGATTAATTGATTCACCATATATACCCTAACCAATACTCAAGGCACACTTGTGCCATCAAAATGAAATACAAACAAACAATTAATCAGGCATGATATAATCTTATATAAAAAAATTACTAACAACTGCTTAGCACTCTAAGGAAAAAAATCAGTTTCCTGATTGACTTGAGGGAAAATATCCAAAACCATATACTGGACATTGGGAAGGTTCAGATTGATCACAGATGGAATAGATTTGTTGTGTGCACATTCAGAACCCATTGACTAAGGAACAGAAAGCCTGGCCAAAGTTCCTACTCTTGCCAAGATCCGCTGTGATGGCCCATAGAGTCAAATAGCTAAACACTTCCTGCCAAGGCTCATTTGACGAAAACAACCACTTAATAAAACACCAGTTAAGATCCACAGAATCACTTAAAACAAGGAATCAGAGGGGCTCATAAAATTAAGAAAAAAATTGGGAACAAAATGACAATTCCCTACTATCACTTACTCCTTTAAAAGTGAATCAATTTCACACCCTCCAATTTCACTCATTTTTCTGCTGATTTTTGTGGAATTGTTTGATTGTTTAAAATGGTGAGCATTGATCGACGTTGCTGGATTACTGGAGATCGTCTTGGGAAGCTTATTACGAAGGGCAAACACAAGAGTGTTGCACTGAAATTTTCCATTTGTAAGGCTGACTCAACACTGGTATCCCTCCTCAAATTCACAATCGGGCTCATCAAACAATATGTTTAATGTACTAACTACAATCAATTCAAGCTCATTTAATCTGATAAGGTTTCAATGCTGATGGAGTGTGCTTATTTTTAAAATCTAAATGCTGGTGCTTACAACTCAGCCCTTTTATCAACTCTCTATTGAAAAGACTTATCACGGTACTAGCATCCAGTTGCTGAGAAGCACTTGAACTGTTAGTTGATCTTCAACGTGACTACATTTCATGAATCACTCAGCCTAGTATTTTGATGACAGTCTTTGAACTGCAGCCATTTGGGGCAGTGTTTTCTGGCTGTGGCTGCCAGCTTTTCATTGGCACAGCCAGGCATTGGAAATTATTGCCAGCTGACTCAGTGACCCACTGCCTCAAATGAAACATTCATATTCTTATGTTTAGATCTCTCTTCATTATTTCTGGAAACTCCTCCAGTCCTACAACCTCTTTTCTTTTGGTCTCCACACCCTTTGCTTCACTACTTATGCCACAGATTCTGGAATCTCCTCCCTTTCTCCGACATTAAGATTTTCCTCAAAAGTTCATCTCTTGGGCTAAACTTTTGATCACCCCTCCCAAAAACATTTCTCTTCATCCGGCTTTCATTTCTTTGATCCTGCTTTTTGTGTATGCCTTCCAGTCCTCATGTACATCAAAGGCGCTAATTAAATGCATTGTTTTTGCATAACTCTGTTGCCTTAGTCAGCTCAGTCACAAGCACGCTGTTTCGATTAATGAACACTTTGTCAAATACTGCTTGCTACCTTAGCAATGTTGCACCTAAGCCTTTGTAAAGGCCAGCAACTCCCTTGCTCCTCAGCAGCTCTTTGGTGATCTGTGTAGCAGTCTGTGGGGATTTGATGGTGGAGGTAGTTTGACTCGCACTGGAGATGGTGTTCTCCACGGGGGAACTCGTTGCTGACTGGGCTGTCATCAGCTTCTGTTGGGCTATTGCAATTAATCAGACAGATAAAGTAGGTCAGTTACAGCAAACAAGTTAAGCAAGACATATCATGCAGCACAGAAGAACGCTTCAGTGTCAAAGAGGTATCATTATTTGACCCTCCAATTTTCATTCCTCCTCCTGTCCTGTCCATAAAGGTGCAGACTCTGACAGGTATACACATCCACAGATACCCAGTCAAAGTGGCCTACACACTAAATTGGATATTCAGAGGTGGCTATCTTGACAGGTAATGTTATTAACATTCTCACTCAAGATTGGTGCGGTCGCACAGATCAGGAGTTTGTATCCTAATTTCTTGTTCTCCCTGTCATCTTAATTATAAAGATTTTGAGCAATTAAATCGTACCCCTTTGAGCATGTAATCAGGTATTTAACAAAGGCCTAACCAGTGGGAAAGCATTAAATACAACTGCCCTAAAAGGTGTTATTCATTTTGATAAATTTCATTTTGGCAATGTCAAAGAGGAGTTAATTCTACACGTTCAATATGGTAATGCAACGATCCATGTTCAAAAGTCAATGACAGTTCTGTTCATTAGTAATTAAGATGCACAGCAGGGAAGTTACTGAGGAAGTGCAGGGTTCAAGGAGTTAGTTACAACTGTGATTATCTTGGCAGTTTGCCATTATAAAGCTATTATTCATATACTGTTTGACCATCCACAATAAAAGCTAGACATCAGTCCCCCTCCAAACATCCTTGGTGGGACAGACACCAGACTTACTCACACATAAAGAGTATAAAAAGATCTCAACTTCCAGCATTCGTCAATTCAGAGTATATTGTCTCTGATTGAGATCATAGTAGAGCTTCAGCTGAACACTTCTGAAACAGAAGAACCACTTCTGATACCATGCAAAATGCAAAGTACAAAGTAATCCTTGTTGGAAATGCAAATGAGTGGACTTCAGGTTGGCAATGTTACTCTTCGTAGTTGAATAGTGACCAACTAAAAAAAGCAGGAGTGGATGGAGTCAGGCTTACATACACCCAGGGTTTTAGTTTTACTTTTCAGTTGAGGGCGGGGTTAAAGCTGCTCGATACAGCTCTCTCTGCTGCAGCTAAAAGTTTGAGTTCTTTCTCTGCTGCTAGCTTGTTTATTTCAGTGTTCATAAGAACACAAGAACCAGGAGCAAGAGCAGGCCACCTGGCCCTTCGAGCCTGCTCCACCATTCAATAAGATCATGGACTGGAGATAGCAAGTGAGAACATCTGTTTTGCTGAATTTGCCTTCACCAAGGGTGTGTTTATGATGTTGATGATTAGAAGTTAAATAATATATATTATTTTGTTAAGTATTTCGATAGAGTTAAAGTATGCCAAATTTTTTTGTCTGTACTTTAACTGTGGCGGAAGAATGACGTGTGTTTTGCTTAAAGCCTAGTGGTTTGACTAGTAAAATGACATCTGGAACAGCACCTTACACTTGCCTTAAATAAGATAAAAGTTAGGAGTTAGGCTAGCTCCTTGATATATTTTGAAGGAGTTTGGTCTGGTCCATAACAATATCAAAAATTACTTTGAAACATCCTTCTGAGATTGACATGAATGTGTTGCTGTTAAAGTAGCCAACTCCGGTTATTCTGAAAGAATACTTCACACTACCTCTTGCTTTAAACCGCTTCGCTTTTTCAAAAAGTCTTTGTGCCCATCTTAGATATTTTAAAGCCAATATAAAGCATTCACAGGAAACGTAAAACACGTACCATTTGTTTTCATAGCCTACACAATTTTACATTTCAGTTGTCAGTGGCTAAGTCCAAGAAACTAATCTTTCGTTTATGGAGACTCCACGAAGGGTTGGAATCATTATTTTAGGCAGACTTCCCTTTTCAAGTGATACATACCAAGACGTCCTGCATCCTGCAGCTGGATCTTCAGCATCTCCATAGGGGTAGTTACAATAACTTGACAGGTCCCAGCACCACAACCAGCCAGCATCTCCTTGATCAAGGTTAACTGCTTTCTAGAAAGGGAAGCAAAAAGAGCCAGCAATGATTCTGCAAATAAGCACTGAAAATTGAACTGCTTGTGCCACATCAATAGCTTTGAAGGTTCAAATGAAATCTAGCTGTCTGCGTGCTCTGCTAAGTGTCTTTTTAAGAAATGGAATGGGATCATTTCTGCAATTCTATTTTTACACTGAAGGACAGTGATGTTGAGTTCTACTTATTTCACACAGCAGTAGCTTCAAGCAGAGGCACAGCAGGGGTTAAAACACTACGTACAAACCTTTCCTTGAAAACGTTGAATTTATTGTCAAACAATGCTCTATTTTGCATTGCACACTTGTCCCACAAGACATTTGGAACTGTTGAAGCAGGGCACCTTATGACCCATCAATCAGAGCTGAAATTTGCACTAGGTTCAATATCGGCTGGACAGTGTCCTATCTATTCAACCAGCTATGCAAGTTTCAGATATTTTGAAGAAGCCAGCATCTCAGTCACAAAAGTAGCTCCTTTTGGAGTTTATATTTTGAAATACAACTTTGTGTACACAAAACACATTCTTATCACTGTAATATCAGATATGTAACTGTAAGAAGTGACTTGAGATTGGTTGAAGGACCAAGTATAATAGAATATCTATACCCAAAGTCACTCAGGTGATCAAAAAGCAAACAAAAATATTATCACAGTCCACAGAAGGAGGAGAAACAATTGCACATTCACAATAGAAAGCTCCAGCTGACTTGACTTGTTTTTTTATAAAAATGGCCAACCTGCACAGAAAGTCTCTTTTTTCAGTTTAAATTTATCTTTAAAATGTAGAAGAAAAATACATGTTTACCAAAGCCAATTAGAACATCGAGACCAAATCCCCAGAGTGCTAGCAGCCTTCTGGTATAGACTGCTTTTCATCAGAAATGAAAAATCTTATGGCATGCCCGGAGAGATCATTTTTAGTGGGTGATGGATCACCATTGGGCTGATGTGTCAAAGGAGCTCAGTGTATTTCAATATAAAGCTTTGCAATGTGCTAATTCACCATATTTATTCCTTAGTGATATTTAATACAGCACACAAGTTCCTCAGATTCTTAGTTGGTTATACCTTGCACCCAGGGGATATACTTCCCTAATAAATTACAGAATTCTATACCCTTCAAGAAAAAAAGCCTGTCATTTTAACACAGTGTTTTGCTCAAATACCCACGTGTCTATTCTCGGCATACTGCAATGCTCCAACGAATCACAGCGCAAACTGGAGGCGCAACATCTCATCTTCAAACTAAGCAGTTTGCAACCTTCTGGGCTCAATATGGAGTTCAATACCTTCAAATTGTGAACCCATTCCTTCCCTTTCTTTTAGCTTTGCTTGTTATGGTCTCTGTCACCCTCCCTCCCTATCCCCCACTCCAGTGAAATGTATGTTCTTTCCCATCTGGCAGTCAGACACGCCATTGATCTGCCATTCTCACGTTTCGAACACTTAATCTGACCTATCAACATCCTTACTCCTCCATCATTCCACACCCTCCCCCCCCCCATCTCCACACAACTATTGCATAAATGCTGCCCCCTCCATACTTCAGCTCTGATGCACAGTTATCTACACTCGAAACATTAGCGTGCTCTCTCTCTCCATGGATGCTGCCCGAGCTGCTGAGATCTCCAGCATTTTTTGTTTTTAGTTCAGATTCCAGCATCTGCAGTAATTTGCTCCTATTTCATTCTAGAATCTTCAATGCCTTATTTATCATGTTATTCACCTGTTTGTGTGTGTTAATGCACCATTGCACTGGCAGCCACAACAGCACGGTACCATGCATGCTTCTTTTAGGAGTCTCGTTATATCTGCAGCCAATTTGACTCGGAACATTTATATCCTTCAATGTCAAACATAACTTCACTGTTACTCGGATATAAACATTTTCCAGAGGGGTCACTTGATAGCAATCGGGGCAGTACCATTGGATTATACTCACATTGTATATGGAGGTAAATGTCACCAGTAATATCAGAGATGAATTAGTTCAGTAAAGACTGAATTTTGAAGATGGGACCTCCTAGCTTTATATGAGTTTCACACTTGGCTACTGAGTTGTATCTAGTTCAGATGTTTTGGATAGCCATCAAGCATAAAAAAAATCTTCATACAAAATATATTAAGTGATGCTCAGTGGGAAGCAGTGTTTTCAGACAAACAATTCGGGTTCTGATATCGTATCCATTCCACAGTTTGCAGTTAGAAGAGAGGGTGACAGAGTTATACAACATGGAAACAGACCCTTCCATGCAACTCATGCATGCCAACCATCTTTCGTAAACTGAACGAGTCCCATTTGCTTGAGTTTGACCCATATCCGTCTAAACCTTTCCTATCCATGTACCTGTCCAAATGCCTTTTAAATGTTGTAATTGTACCCACCTCTGGCAGCTTGTTCCATACATTCCCCATGCTCTGCATGAACAAGTTGCCCCTCAGGTCCCTTTTACATCATTCCCCTCTTTCCTTAAATCTATGCCTCCTAATTTTGGGGTACTGCTATACAGTTTGGTTTGCTTAGGAAGATGTGGTCACACAGAACCAAGCCACTTCTTCGACTAAAATACACAAAGGGATGCCTATGGCACAAATGCATGATCTCATCTGGGAAACGGAGAGCAAGGCATCTCTGCAACACTAACTGTGATCACCTTCATGGAATAAGTCAAGACTAGTTTCAGTGACTACAGGAGGGGTACCCCTACTGACTGTCACAAGGAAGGTCATTACAAACATCCTCCTCAGTTGCCTCCTCCCTTTGGCTAAAGAGCTCCTGGAGTCACAATGTGGATTCCACCCAAAGGCACAGTGGACATGATCTGCACAGCAAGACAACTCCAAAGAAAATGCTGAGAGTAGCAGCAACTACTACACATGGCTTCACAAGCTCTGCTTTGACTGGATTTGGGGGCGAGGGGAAGAGATTATGGATTTCCTCAAAGCTGGCTGCCTACAGAAATTCAACACCAACCTCTGAATGCCGCATGCAAACTGTGATCCTCACCAGTGGACCATAGACCCAATGGGCATGCAAGTAACAGTCAAACAAGGCTGTGGCATTGTACTTGTGCATGTGTGCACTCTCAGGAGGTTAAAATCCAAACCATCATCAATATATTCACAAAGTTATGAGAGAGAGAACAGGCTTGGGCTTAACATCTGAAAGACAAAGGTCCTCCACAGCAGAAAACGATTTCTACATCACTACAACATTGACTAAGATGACCAAACACACGCCTCCACACAAAACAGGAGGACATTCAGCTATTGCCAATTAAAGATCAGCTTGCTCTCTCGTGAAACTTGGAATCTGACACTATTTGGCTATATCATAAAAGAAGTCCATTATAGGGATGACCACCCTTTGACAAAAAATGATGACATGACAGGTGGGTTTTGTTTAGCTGCTATTACCCACAAATTGGCTGGTGAACGTGGGCAAGCTGTTCATTCATGTGGGGCACTTGCAGGTGACAGATCATTGGATTTAGCTGCAAAATATACACATTTCAGGATAGGTTACTGGGAATACTCAATGCACGCAACCTGGCACTTCTACACTGTATTTCAACAAAACTGATGTCAATTTTAACACTCATACTGCTTGTCAGACTGAGATCAATAAACTTATCTCAGTTCTCTTTATCTAGCTAATCTACCAAATAAATTGGTACAATTCACCTGAGGTTTTCAACATAAAAGCCTGCCACTACTCATTGCTATTACTTTCTGACTTAATGGCTCTTTAAGTCTTATATTTAAAAGAAGATATTCCCAATGACCTGCATGCTTCTGGTTGACAATTACTTTATTAGTCTTATTTCTCCATTTGTAAGGATTACCACCAGATGGTCATTGCATGGAATCCTTCCACTACACACCAGGGCAGCAGATCTTGGCAGCTCATCTTACATCCGTCCTCTTTCTTTTAAAATGTCCTCAATCTTCATATTCCTATCAAGCACTGGTGTAACAAAGTAAATTTTGCTCAATAAATTGTTTTGATTTTTCACATTTTCAAGTCACCAGCACACATGCATTAAGACTTAATTATATGATTGCAAATCCCTTTGTTTAACAGCAAATTGCTTTACATGATTGGTCATACTATCGCAGTCATCCATTTTAAAATGCCGTCAGATTGAATTTACTGATTTTGAGGAACTGGCAATAATTTGCTAAGTGATAGCATTACTCTGGTTTGGATCTAAGTTACCAGTGCAATTTTACATCTACTTGAGGTATCCAAGTGGGACTGGTATGACTATCAGCCAGATCTCCAATGCCTGTTCACCACTCAGTGATTTCTCACTGTAAGATATGTTTGTAGAAACTGTGCAAAAAAAAAAAAAAAAATTGGTGTTGACTGTGTTGAAGTCTAAAGCTAAGTGGCTTACCAATTTTAAAGACCACAATAATGAGGAGTAGTAGGAGGCCATTTGGTTCCTCAAGCCTGATTCATCATTTGAGAAGATCATGGGTGGTCCACATTCTCACCTCCCCTGACAACCAAGAAAGTTCTGAGTAGTTGCAGACCTCGGAAAACAAAATTTCACCTCATCTTTGTTTTAAATGGATGACCCCTGATTTTTGAACAGTTCAAGAGTCTCCCTTCACTCTTATGTGAAGACACAAAATGCAGGAAAATAGCTAATACTTCACTATTCAGTTAGATGCTGGTGATCTCCATTTAGCCATCTCTGATCCATATCTTTAATATCCTTACATAACACCAAATCAATCCCAGGTGGTGGTGGTGATGGTGGGGTGGGTCATTATTTTCATTGGGTTTTTTGTAAAATTCACTTCTCAAAGGCTGAGCTCTGATTTAAAGGTTCTGCCCTTTTGTTCCTGATTCCCTCACACAAGAGAAATGCCCAAAATGGAATGTAGTATTCAAAACGGGTTCTGATTAAGGTTCTGTACAACTGAAGCATCAATTCCTCTCCTTTATATTCCAGCTCCCTTGAAAGAG